AGCCTGTTCTTTTCTCTTTCAAACAAGCTATTATCCTTGTCTCCAATGCTAGTAATAATTGCACAGGAAAAGATTTAGTAAAACCTATCATTTTTAGTTGCTGTTTAATTATGCAAGTTTACTATGTTATTGTTTAGTCGGTTTAAATGTTAGAATTTTCTTCTTTAAACTTTTATGTTGTCGTCACTACATCTGGAAACCACGTAAGAACAAATTAAAAGTATTTTAAAAGAGATCAGGTTGTTTGAAAATCCTAAACGAATGCTAAAATTCGTCAAAACATTCTGGTGTCTGAGCCAGAGTGTCATCGAATTGCGATGTAATGTAAACAGAAATTATAGCAAGTTGATGTCAGTCAGCTTAGATGGTCCAAGCCAAAATTATATCGCATTTGAAGTTTCAAACTGAGTTAAAAAATAGTGGAAGAAAAGCCGTAATTATACTTATTGTTACAATCCATTTAATAAAATGCAACATTTTTTTGTTTTAATGGAAAAAATCAGTTATTTTCATGAGAACGATTTGTTATTCCATCTCAATTTTTTTAATCTCCAATCGCAATAACGTAAAGTATTATTAGCCGCGAACCAATGAGTCAAATTTAAGAAACAACCCACTGTTAGAAAGCTGAATGGCTACGCTTTAAAATGAATGTAAACTTTAACGTTTTTGTCTATTATTTGTTTAGCAATTTACATTTCAGTCGAGGATTGCGCTTTTTTTGATACACCCTGTAGAAAGTACGACAATTGTGAGAATTAAAATACTGGTATATATAAGAAAAAATAAGGATTGGAACTTATCTTGGAAACCCACGTCGTAAAACATTTTATGTCCGTAACTTACTTGTAAGGGCCCTGCATGGAGGCATGTCCCCTCCCGAAAGACTTTCGACGTTCAAAGGCTTAAAACGCTATTTCCTGCATTTGCTGGGCCATTGTTTAATGACGGTCAGGCCCTGTGGCTATAATCACAGATATAAGATACAGTTGTGTGAATAGTTTATGTAATTTCTTTTTATAATCACAGAAAGACAATCTAATAATTTATTGAGCATATACATTCTTCATTTTCTTTCTAATAACTTTTCTTACTTGCGATTCCGGCGGAGCGCTCTAACCAACTGAGCAACAGAGCAACAGAGCTACAAGTTCATGTTTACAGCCAATTAAAATAAGGTTGTCCTTTGCCCTTTGCAAAACTCTAAACCTTAAACTCTAAACCTTAAACCTTAAACTCAAAGTTTAAGGTTTGCAAATTAAAGGACAACCTTTTTTGAATTAGTTGTATACACTAAGCTGATTCCAATGTAAGGTGTATGGGTAAACATCAGGATGGCCATAGGTTTAATTAATATTTAGTAAATTTATACTCGAAATCAGTTCCAGCTACAAAACTCTTCAATAATTAGTTCGATTGAGTGAGATGCCCAAAATTATGAAATTCCTGCAATCTGCAGCGCGCATTACAATTTCTGACATAGAGCAATGCTATCTAAACGGTAGTCACAAAGAAATTGTAAGCATGGGCCACAGTTTATTTTGCCGACAATTGTCATCTAAATTTCTTTCCTCTTTTTCATGTCCCAAAAGAGTAAGTTATGCAAAGAAAGGCAGAAAAGAATGGGGCCTTTCTCATCATTCTCATTTTTCATACTTTTAAAATTACACAGCTCTGCATATCATAGGCGTACGAAATGGGGGTTCTCCAGCCATTCTCTTACCTATAATAATTTTTTGGTCGGGCAGTTTGTAGTCGCGGATTGTGCGTAAATATTGGGAAATTGTACTTTGCAGCGTGCATTAATTTTTTGGAAATGGGCTACGTTTCAAAATGTGTTAATGATTTCAAAACATTTCGACAGGAATTTTGGGAAATATATGAGGAAACAATTTTTCGGGTCGGGCAATGTTCACGAACGTCATCCAAATCCCCCCCCCCAATTGTTTCGCTCCGTACGCCTGCGCTCTGCATCCTAAATTGCGTTGCAAGTTGCAGCAAAAATGCCTTGTGTAGCACGGCCAACATAAGTCACTAATAGTTTAAATTCAATGTGTTTGACTTCGCTTTCTACCTAGACACGCTCGGCCAACTTGTCAATTTTGCTGCAGCCAAACACAACTTCTTTGAGTTCTTTTTATTGTTTTGTGCAGACGTTTCATGAAATTTCTGAATCTTTTCTGACATATTTACAAGTAGTAAGTAGTATCCAGTAATACGACTGCATGCATGAGACAATACGATTCGTTCATGAAGTCTGCACGCTGATTTACCAATCACACTAGCGCTATGTATTTATATCATGTGATACTTATATATAATACGATTGAGTGACGCAGTTTCAGAAGTGAAGTCTTTTAATTGACGTAGTTAGCGTGTCAAAATAAAATCTATCTATCTATCTATCTATATTTACGAAGTAGCGCGAAGATCCAGTACATTACTGCATGCATGAGATTTCGTTCATTCTGCACGCTGATTTACCAATCACACTAGCGCTTGTTTTATTCATGTGATTTAATAAGACAATACGATTGGTGACCAGTTTCAGAAGTGAAGTGTCAACATCGCCGTTATAGAAAGTAGGGCTGTTGGATTTTCTGCACTGCAGAAGCTACACCATACTTGAAATCCAGATTAAAATGGGATTGTAAATATTTGATGATTCATGCCAGTCAAAAACAATTTTCCAAAGAATTATTTTGTATTAAAATTAGGGTATACGAGCAAGCAAAAATACTCTCATTTTCGGCCCTATGCATTATATGTTCGCACTGTTAGGTGCAGTACTTTATATATGACTGTAGAGCAACCAATAGCTTAATTAAACCAACACACTGCTACGTGGATGAGCAGGCAGAGGCCCTGTTTTTGCGGGCTGGTTGCGGGCTAACGCGTGCGAGGAAGCTAATATGCAAAATATTATTTTCTCTCCTAGGTTTCGCGCACGCGTTAGCCCGCAACTACCCCGCAAAATGCTCTAACCACCGCGTATAATGGCGAAAGCACCGCGTATAATGCCGAAAGCGCCCAACAAAATGTCGTTTGATCACTTAAGACAGCTATGGCTTTCCATATTACTGTGTGGGCTGCTGTGGTTTGGGTGTGCTTTCTGCTTAAACACTCTCCGCCAACTTGCCAATTTTGCTGTCGTTAAACACAAGTTCATTTTACTGTTTTTGCAGAAGTTGTCATCTTGTAAAATTCAAACATTTCTGAATCGTTTCTGACATTTACGATCGAAAAGGCACGAAGATCCAGTGTATTAGTGCATCATATGAGACGACGTTCAATCTAAACGTGAATATACCAATCACAGCGCTTCTTTTATTCACGTGATTTAATAAGACAACGCGGCGGTTGGTGGCCAACTTCAGAAGTGAAGTGTCAACATCGCTGTTATAATGTTATAAACGAAAGCAGGGCTGAAGAATTTTCTGCACTGCAAAGTCTTACATCAGAAGATGCCAGTCAGAATCAATTCTCCAAAGAATTATTTTCGTGTTAAATTAAGATACGAGCAAGCAAAAATAATCACATTTTCGGCCTATGGGCATTATATGTGAAAATACCAAACATATTTCAAAACAATTTTTCGCACTGTTGGATACACTACTTCAAAAGAATGCGGTATATGACTGTTTGACTTGTGTGCCTTCATTTTCAAAATTCTTACATACGAAGATTATAGTCCTCCTAATTATCGACAACACCTCAACCGGCGTTTAAAACCGAATTCCTTCTCAAACTTAGTGTAAACGTTTCTTTCACTTCCGGTAAATATGATAATTTGTCCCAAGAAGACAATACTCTAAAATGCAAATGTGACTGACAAAACACCCACTATTATTGTGACTGTAAGAGGCGAATGATTCAACATAACATTTGTCGAGAGAAATGTTATTAGTCTTTTTCAGTCTTCACTACGTCTGCGGTAAGAGTTCTTTTCTTGACATATACCAATGAATTGAATGCTCTGGTTAATTGTTTTAATGATGCACATACACATTTGCTTGCAGGAATGTGAAAAGCTCAAAAACAGCAGTTGTGTTCAATGGAACTTAACTACAATCAATGGAGTTAAAATGTTGTGGTAGGTATAGCACAATTTACCCTAGTGGATTTATACAATATCGAATATACATGCATCAGTGCAATTAAAGTATAGCTGTAGCAAACTAAAAATGAACAATATATACTATAGTCTTATGGGGTTTGGTATTTTTAGGTGTCGTTCAGGCTCAGTTCACATGAGCAAAATACATATTTGCGTTTTTATATAGCTCAAAACAGCGGCTGTGTTGACCAAATGTAACAATCAGGAAGGGCATTATAGTTATTAAGGGTACACTGTTAATTTCAGGGAGTTAATTTAACTCCGGCGGAGTTATACTGTACCTCAATTAACTCCAAATGTGGAGTAAATTTAGGTTCAGAATAATACCACATTACCACTGGAGTTAAATTAACTCCCTGAAATTTACAGTGTAATTATAAGTCGTTTATCCTTCCTTGAAATTATTGGAATATCGAATACGTCAGTTTATAAATAAAGTATAACACTTAGGACTTCGTTCCGCTTCTGCATGTTCGCCATAAATTTGCAAGACCTTTCGTTCAGAAAGATCTCTTAGATCTTCACGTTATTCACAACACTCGGCGAGGCGTTAAATTGTGGAAATAAATTTGACATGCATGATATCTTGATTTCTCTCGTTTGACTCCGTTCCTCGTAACAACCTAATTTTAGATTAAGCTGCAGCAATGAGGAATTACGCAACCGCTGTTAATTAATTAGATTGGTTCAGTTGATTATTTCGTTCTGGGCGTAACCCTGGCGTAACTCCGCGGCGGGGCACTAATTCCGCTCGGCTATTTACTCCCGGGGAAACGAAAGTCATTAGTGAAGTCAGAAGTTCATCAATAATAGCGATCTTCGAGATCTTCAGAAAAGGTTAAAAAAAGTAAAGATAAGTTAACAAAAGTAAAAAAAGTTTTTGATTTTCACAAAATGTTTAAAAAAGTTGGAGGTTAGGATTAGGCGTTGTGGGGTAGGGTTAGTGGTTAGGTGCTGCGAATTTATGATATTGATAAATTCGGACGCCGGTGTTTAACAATTTACTCATATAGTAAATTCAAAGGTATTTAGGTAGAGCTCATGCTGGTTTATGAATACTGTTGCTTTAATTTTATGCGTAAAGCATGCACTGCTTTTTCCTTTTGGCATTATATTCAGTAGAAAGGGCAGGAAATTTAAACTGACATGCAACTCTTTAGTTAGTGCGTTGAAGGTCGAAGGCTGGAAGACGAAAATATTTTTAGACGTATTATAACGTCTGTTAAGAAATGATGAGGGGAGAGCCTTTTAACATGATTTTGTAGCGAACACGTCTACGCTCTGCGCAATTAAATCCGTGATTTATTTTAAGAATGTGAACTGACCTGTGTCAATCACGCAAAGAATATACAGCATATATATACATTATTTGTACGATCAGTGGCGTAGCTAGCGAAATTGGACGCGCAAATTCTAGGGGGGGGTGTTATGTTACGCATTTTCCGAATTAATTAAAACGTACAACTCCGTTAGTTAGTGCGTCGAAGGCTGGAAGACGTGATATTTTTAGACGCATTATAACGTCTGTTAAGAAATGAGGGGAGAGCCATTTCACATGATTTTGTAGCGAACACGTATAACGCTCTGCGCAGTTAAATCCGTGACTTATTTTAAGAATGTGACCAACTGACCTGTCAGGTCATTACTGTGCTGATGAATTAACAAGAGACATTGGCAGATAGGTTTGTTAACCCAATTACTGGCAGTACCCTATACCACTGACGAGTAAAATCTTCTGGCGCTGGACAAGGGAAGGGCGCATTGCTAGCTAATAGGTTAAACCACCGTGGTTAAACATAAGATTTGATGCTCCAGGAACTGATCAGTGTGGCATCCCAGTTTATATATATATATATATATATATATATATATATATATATATATATATATATATATATATATATATATATATATATATATATATATATATATATACTCGGAATATTGATTTCTCGGTATATACAAAATTATTTTAAAGTATAACAACCAGCAAAGAAATAAGCCACTAACTATACCATGCGCGGCGACTATATAATGACATATATATGTCATTATATAGTCTGCGCGCAGGCTAGCCACTAACGTTTCTAGTATGTTTTAAATGTATACACAAATGTCTTGCGACCGCCGACAGCCAACCTCTGAACTTTGATAAACAAGACGCCTGCTCAGGCGTTCACACTGGCCTGAAAATGGCAACTTTTGTGGTACTGGGTGTAATGTGTAGTAGAGAAGTAGATAGGGACACAGGATCATAGGGATACTGGATCATATAAATACAACCAATAAATACAATCGTGATAAATACAACCGGCGTACCCTCCGGCTACGGGCAACTCAACCTGACAAGCCAGACCCACTGTAACTATGATCATCAACTACCAACCGTGAATAATGACGGGCCAATAATAGCGAAGAAATTATAGTCCTTGATTTTTAATGCCGTTATATGGCTAGTTTCAGGTGCTAAAAAGTTCATAGACGTAGACGATTCTTCTAAAAAAGACGCCAATTTGCTTCCATTTATAAGATAAACTGATCCCAACCCAAAGCCCTTCTCTAACCCCGACCAGTAAACATCTAATAAACAATTTGAAAATTAAAAAAGTGGGGGGGGGGGGAGTTGGATCCTGTTCCAAAAACAAATCGAACCGTATCATGTTTCAATTCGCCGCACGCAACGCCACCTTGCTGAATACAATCGAAAACATAATATATGATGAATTAGAAAGTAATTTATTTCGGGCAAATTAATGTAATTAGGTGCAAATTTATAACTAGGAGTTACTATCGCAAGGAAAATGCTGCCGATATGTACATGCACGATGTACTACAACCAAAAAGTGTCTTTTTCACTGTATAGGAAAACGTGCAATTTGAATATCAAACACCTTGCACAAAGTCAAAGCAGGCCCGTGTCAAGTGGTTTTTGGTTTGGGGGGGGGTGAAATAAAAAATTTGGGCTCCCTCCCATTTGGGCCCCCCTTAAAAACATTTTTCCAGAAACCAAAGAATTTTTCTGGAAAATACTGGGGAGGGGGGAGGCCCCAAAAATGTTTTCAAACACTAGGTTTACATAATAGGGGCTTAAATTTAGTTTTGAAGACCTTTTTAGTCCAATTTTCCTGAAAATTCCTTAATATTTAACACGTTCCGCTTTCCAGGGCCCCCTCTCTGCAATTTGGGCCCCCTTTTTTACTTTTCTTTGGGGGGTGATACACCCCCCCCGCCCAGGTGGCACGGCCCTGAGTCAAAGGTCGGCTAAATGTTCTAATTCTACTTTCCTGGCATGGGCAGTTTTATATGAATACCTTCAATGCTTATATAAATTTCTTGCTTTTGTACATATAATTATAATATTGTTAGTGGCAAAGCTAGCCATAGCAACAGGTCATACTATGCAAGTTTTTAATGAATTGCATCATTCAAATAAATGCAGGTTTATTAGCATATAGCACATTCAAGCACAGGCATACTCAATACTGAGCATGACCAGTTGCCATGGCCAGCTTGCCACTGAATACAGTGGAATGTTGATATAAAAATACTAAGTCAGTTTTTGTTCCAGGGGCATCACCTAAATGTCTCCCACCCCCCCTCACTTTTTAACAATGGTCGGTATAATAGTACCACAAAGTCAAGTGATATTATTTCAGTTATGCATGTAGACAAAAGGTATTTTATAACATTTTGTTACATTTAGAACTTTGCAAATCTCCTTCCAAAGTGCATGAAATGGTATTTCAGACAAAATTTCCCCGGGGACGTGCCCCCGGATCACCCATAGAATTTCACCTGCTGTCACCCACCTTCGGTGGGCACTATAGTGTGCCCCCCACTTTTACAACTGCTCTGGTGCCCCTGACCACCTTCAAGGCTACCTCTGTCACAGAACAACTGAACAATCTGATGGGGAGACAGAATTTATTTATTGACATTTTTGTTTAAGCTTCAGATAACACCATTCAATATTAATTAAGATCATACTCAGTCAGAACTGCAAAATCATTTGTAATAAGAATGTAGACCGGTAGAATTATTTTATATTATGCTATAAACAATGCCAATGGACATATCTCAGATATTTATATATATAAACAGACTGATTTAACAACATCCTGCGTTTGCTTGTATACTATAAACATCTAGAATTAGAAACGGAACGTACCGAACACTATTATAAACCCATCGCCTTTGCACTATATATTAAGTGGCATAACAAACAAATAAACTAAAAGTACATTTGAGTATTTGACTCCATACCTGTAGATTTTATTGTTGTGGAGGTAGCCGAATTTTAAATGGAGCTAGACTATGCCACATTCTCGTACCCAGAGCCCGTCTTACACGCGATCAACAGAGCATGACAAGGGTAGCAGGTACGATCGGCAGTTGCGCTGCATTTGCCGCAACTGCAGATCAAAATTTAGCCTCTGAACGACAACACAATGCCAAGTGTGCCAAGTATAGAAGTGCATTCTGAGAGTGCATTTTTGCAGTTATTCTAGTTAGACAGTAACTCCGGGCTTAGATAACAAGCTCCAAATGATTTTTGGAATTAGCAACACAGCAAGTAACTTCAAGCTTTATACATACCTAGCGGCTAGGC